TATCAGGCTTATTTTTTTTTAATTCTAAGATTTATTTAAAAATGCAAAGACCAAGGATCTCATTTATCAAAACAATTTTGAAAAAGATGAGCAAAGTTGAAATCCTACCTGATTTCAACATTTAATGTATAGTTATCATCATAACAGTATGGTAATAATATAATAAACATATAAGTCATTGGAATGGACTGGGCAGTCTAGAATATATGGTTGATTGATTTTTATCAAAGAGACCCAGGCAATTCAAAGAGGGAGAGAATAATATCCATAAATGGCACTGGAACAATGGAAAGGGCATTTTAAAAAAAACCTTGATTCTTGCCTCACAGAACCAACAAAAATTAATTTGAAATGTATCACATATTCCAAAGAGATAAGTAATGCTCTAGGTTTTCTAGAAAAAAAAATATGAGAGAGAATCTGTTTCAACTTGGCTTGGGCAAAATTTCTCAGAACACAAAGAATATTTGCCATAAGGAATAAAATGAAAAACATTATTTCACCAAAATAAAATGTTTTTAATCTTTAAAAGATTGGTTTAGAAAATAAAAAGGCAAACCATCCACTAGAAAAAAAATTACACAACATGTATCAAACAAAGGGCCTTATTAGTCAGGGTTCTACAGAGAAAGAGAACCAATTGTGTGTGCGTATGTGTGTGTGTGTGTGCGTGTGTGTGTGTGTGTGTGTGTGTGGACTGTGAATGAATATACATGAAATATTTATGTTTTTCATAAAGATGAGATTTATTATGAGGAATTGGTTTGTGATTGTAGAGGCTGAGTCGTCCGCTTTGCTGTCTGCAAGTTGGAGACCCAGGAAAACTGGTGGCGTAGGTCAGTACAAGTCTGAAGGCTTGAGAATCAAAGGAGCAGATGGTTTAAGATTTCAGCCCAAAGGCAGGAAGAGATTGACAGCCCGTTTCAAGTAATCTAGCAAAGTAAATTCTTCATCAACTTTTTGTTCTTTTTAAGGGCTCAATGGATTGGATGGTGCCCACCCACACTGGGAAGAGCCATCTAGTTTATAAATTCAAATATTAATCTCCACAGGAAACATTCTCACAGAAGTGTATACTCAGAAATGATGTTTATTCAAATATCAGGGCACCCCATGATCCAGTCAAATACACATATAAAATTAACCACCACATTCAGGATATGTGTGTATCTATCTCCCTCCCTTCCTTCTTTCTTTCCTTTCTTTCTTCCTTCCTTCCTCCTTTATTCTCTCATTCTAAATTGCAACTCAGTAGTAAGAAGATACAGAACTCCAATTTTTAAAAAATGTACAGAAGAGTTAAACAGGCACTTCATTCACGAAGATATGGGAACCATGAATAAGCACACGTTAACGTTAATCACCAGAGAACTGCATATTAAAATGTTGTTGAAATAGCTCTACACATCCACTATGATGGATTAAAGTAAAAGGACCTACAATATTAAGAGTTGGTGAGGTTCTGGAACAATCAGAATTCCCATAGGAATGTAAAGTGGCCAAAGAACATTGGAAAATTTTCGGCAACTTTTTAAAAATAAAGTTAACATACACTTACCATATAACTATGTATAACATCTATTTATCATATAGCAGTTTTCCTTCTAGGTATTTACTTAAGAGAAATAAAAGGGTATTTTTGCTTCAAATTTGTAAGTGAATGTTCATAGCAGTTTCATTCACAAGACTCCCAAATTGGAAACCAAACAAATGTTAAAATAACTGGCGAATGAATGAGAAAATTGTGGTGTATCCACACAACGAAATTCTGCTCAGTATAAAAAGAAGCAAAGTACTAATACAAGTTAGAAATGTGGATGAGTCTCAAAAACCTCTCTCTGTGTAAGTGAGGCCTTATATGTAACAGAGTAGATGCTGAATGAATCGGTTGACCCTAAACTCCAGAGGTGAAAAGAAGACATCTATAGCACAGAAAACTGGCAGAGGTGGCCTAGGGCTGGGACTCAAGTTGGTAATGGGCTGCCAAGGGGCGCAGAGGGGCTTTCTGGGTTAATGGTGATGCTCTCTGTCTTGATCAGGACCGTGGCTACCTGGGTGCAGGCATTTTGCCAAAAACATATCAAACTATACAGTTAACATGAGCTCATTTTTTGTATTGCATGCAAATTATGTCTTTAAAATACGATTGAAAATATCAATTTCATCACCACCACAGTAATTAGAGCTTCGTGGAACCCCACAAGAAACCGACAGACTAAATGATTTCTGGGCCAGTGGGATAACCTTGAGTTCCAAGTAGATGTCTCTCTGCATTTTCCTTTGTTATAGTCATTCAAATATTTAGACCTGTCTGGGTTTATCTTTAAGGCCAGTTAGGTCTTATCATAGGGCACTCTAGAACCACCTGTGAAGGAGCAAGGAGGTCATCCAAGCTTGGAGCAGATTGAACAGTCTCAGGGCCCTGGTCACAGATCAGCTCTGATGCTCTGATTACCCCTGGTGTGACCTGTCTCCTAGGGAAATGGAGCTGAAATACAAGAATGTGGAAATATGAAAGGCTGGTCTTCTATGAACCCTATTAGAGAGAGAGAGTCAGAGGGTGCCTGTAGTCATGATTTTCTTTTCTTGGAAAAACTGGTGGAGTAAGTTAGAAATAGTTCAAACTCAGTGTAGACAGGATTGCTTAGGATTAAAATGGAATGACTCAACTTCAGGAAGGAAAGACTAGCCACCATACTCTTGCTGGTGTGCCAAGGGTAGAAGCTATGACAGACATCTGAGTCCTGATACCAGAGTGGGCAAGGAGGCAAACAGCAGATTGCAGAACCCTGGTAAGACCTACCCTCAGACCTCCCAGACAGGTTGGTGGGAGTGTGGAGAAGAATGCTAGGTTGAGAAAAATACTGAGTAGCAATGGTTATCATGTTAGAATTTTAGTTCCTAATAAGTGTGCCCTCTCAAACCCATGAGAGAGGCCGTTTAAGAACTGGTAAGCAGGGTGGGCAGGAGGCTGTTTGCCTGTGTATGTAAATCATAGACTCTAAGCACTTTAAAATGCGAGACGACAATTTACATAATCAATTTTCTCACTGACTCTACACCAACAAAGCAGTTACTTTGGATGTAACTTTTAAGATGTGTTTACACGTCCCTCCTGAGAAAAGTCTACACATCCAGAGTGTACCTTCAAATTGTTGGTAGCAATTTGACCAGTGCACTTCTTTAGTTTTTATTTTGTTTTATAGTATTCAATTTTGATATAAATTTACAAAAGCATCTAAGAAAGCTTGAATTTCTTAAAAAGTGGGCCATTTTCCACATGTAGTTTGAGAAGTATTGCCAGAGAATGGAGGCCAGGAGACTGGCCCACCAGTTTTTCTACAGCCTACGAGCTAATAATTGGTTTTGCAAAAAGCAAAAGGAGAAGATTTCATGACGTGTGAAAACTAAGTTAAATTTGAATTTCAGTGTTCACGAACAGAACTTTCTGGAATATAGCCATGCCCTTCCTTTACATATCGCCGCCAAGCGTTTTCACCCTACAGTGGTAGAGTTGAGTAATTGCAGCAAAGATTATTGTCCCCACAAAGTCCAAAGTATTTACTGTCTGGCCTTTCACACAAAAAGTTTTCCTACCCTGCTCTACAAATACTCACTACTTGCTCCCTTGCTTCCTGGCACTCCAACACGAAGTGACATGAAAGTCATCAGAACTGAAGTGTTTCTCTGAAGACGGTCTTTGGAAGTTCCGGCTAGTCCCAGTGGCGGTGTTCTCCATTGTCCGGCTCTCTGGGGTCTGCTGCTGGTGCTTTCCTGTTGGTGCCTTGGGACAGCCAGCTCGTGACTTGGCTCCCCCTTCTCCCAAGGGAAAGTGCCTGTTGTCCTGGGCATTTCCATTCACATGCTCACCAGAACTGACGCGGCCTGGCTTGTAAAATCTGATGGGATTCCTGCCCAAAGGAGGGTGGCCGCAGGCGGGTGGAAGTGCCACTCCAAAGAGGCAGTAACCTCTGAGTGGAGGGCAGGGAGCAGGGGGAGAGGAGGCACTTGCTATTCATGCCCAGGCTGCCCCTGCTCAGCTCCTGGGCTTGCAGACTTGAGGCTCACTTGGCTTTAAAGAGCTCATTAGCATGCCTGGGAGAGGTGAGCATTCAGGCTTCCAAGAGCCCAGGAGGGAATTCATCCGGGAGGGGGTGGGGCTGGAGTAAGGGAGTCTTTGAAGGGGACAAGGACATCATACTGAGGACCTGGGAGGAGCCAAGCTGGACAGAGGGTCTCATTAGGTATGAGCCATGTGAGGAGGACTGACGAGATGTCAGAGCTGGGCTTTTGATTCTGGGGGGTCACCCCATGCTCGGGCAGGTGCAGAGGTGGCGGGGATACATAGGAAAGAATACAAGCGCTCAGGGCCAGGAGGATATGTCATATAGCAGCTGTGTCATCTTGAGCAAGTCACATCACCTCGTGGAACCTCCTCTGTGAAGTGTCTAACTCATGGGGCAGTTGGTACAATCACTTTAAATAAGGGGGGTTATTACCAGCAATATGTGAGAATCATTCCTTCAGTGGTTCAGATTGACAAGCCGTAAAGAGAATGGGGCCTATAAGGCTCTGCCTTTGACTTTTATAAAAGTCACTTGGGATCTTTCCTCAAGTTAGATGTTTAGGGTATAAGGGGCCATTAAAGCCTTTAAGCTATCCCATCCCAAGACTGTTTACATACTGCGGGAGAGAGGAGCTCAGTCCTTGATAAGGACGTCCCTTTGGTCTTGGCATAGTTCAGGCCAATGGAGAGTTCTTACTGGGCTGAAATTCACTTTGGGGACTTTTATTTATGGAGCTATTTGTATCCATAAGAACAAGTGAGAATCCCAACTCCATAAGAAACAATGCAATTTTCCTTATCAGTTGCGTGCACTTGAATAATATTTTTTTTAAAATGGGGTCTTTCTATGTAGCACAGGACGGGCCTGCATGCCGTCTCTGGGCCTACAGGTACAGACCACTGTGTCCAGTTTCTTTTTTTTGTATCCCCTAAATTGATGATCACCAAGCTTAATAGTCTCTAGACACCTTTACTTCTTAAAAAAAGATTGAGGCCCTCAAATGTCTGTTTTATGTGACCATGTAGCTATCAATACTGGCTTTACTAGAAATGAAAACCAAGAAATTCAGAAAATTACTTATTCACAGAAAAATAAAAATAATAAATCCATCGTATGTTAACAAAAATGGTTATGCAAAATAATTATGGAGTTCTAAAAATGTTTAGTAAGAAGAATGGCTTTGTTTTACATTTTAGCACCTCCTGTAAGAGAAGACAGCTGTATTCCTATAGAGATACATAGCAGGAAAAGAGGGAAATATTTTAATAACCCTTTTAGAAAATTATTAATATTTAACCTCTAGGAACAACTGCACACCATGAGAGAGTTTTAAAAAGTAGACCCCCAAAGTATTATTATGAAAATTATTTTGATCTCATGAACCCTTGGAAAGGGTCTTGAGGACCTTAGATGTCTCCAGATAATGTTTTCAGTTGGGACAGTCTAATTACTCAGAATAATGGGTTTCACTGTGGCATTTGCATATGCACATAGCATACTTTGGTCCTTACATCATTTTGGAAACAGCTGCCTTAAACTATGATTCTTACAATTTTAGTCTTATTCTAGTAGTAACTTTTCAGAAATGGCTGTGAGAGCTCTCCTTCCATCTCTCCTCTCACCCCACAACACTTCTTTATTTTCTATTATAGGATGGATATCAAGACAGAAGTGTGACCCTCGGCCTGCCACCTTTCAGGTAGAGCTTGAATTGATCACAACTCACACTTTTCTTACAGCTAGCCTTCTGTTTTTCACTAGTTTTGTAAGTGTAGGTACCAGAGAAGAGCAAACTAATGACAATAACATAACATCTAAGAAGATGGCATAGTCTGACAAAATGCCATTCTCCCTTTTCACGGTGTAAATGGTGGGTGCATTTGAAACATCTTTATTTTGCCTGATAACTCAAGATAAGCCCTGACGTTAACTTGGGAATATTCTGATATTGTGAATCCAGTGCACAGAATTAGATTGTCAGGAGCAGGAAGGGCAGCATTCCTCCTCTCCTCTAACCCTCCACCCCTCACCACGACATCCTCTCTACCTCCCAACATGGGCAAGACTGAAACTACTTTGTGGGCTTTGCCGAGAAGCGTGCATTTTCTACCCACACATCAGAATCTACCTGGGAGAACTTCATGGATGGAGAAGCCAGGTCAATGTTTTCTCTTCCAAATCTCAATACTCTAGGTCCCAGAAAGCTACCTATTGGACAGGATTCATTTTTTAAGTCCATTTCACTTTTGCTGTCACGAAGGGAAGGCTATTGTTTAGTAGTTCTTGTAATATGCCAA